AAAACCTCACCGGGCGTGGTGGTGCATGCCTTTAATCCCAGCACTTGGGAGGCAGAGGCTCTGTGAGTTCAAGGCCAGCCTGGTAGTGAGTTCCAGGACAGCTGGGGCTACAGGGAGACCCTTTCTCACAAAGACCAAAAAAAAAGAAAAAGAAAAATGATCACAGCATATAATAAAATACGTGCTGAATGAATAAAACCAGTTCCATTGGAAATATGTTACACAGCTGTCTTACAAAGCAGCTGCACAGCCAACCCAACCAGATCTGGAGACAGAAGCACTCTCACCTAGCCACCACAGTACTCTAGCTAGCTTTCTACTGCTGTGATAAAACACTGACAAAAACCAACATGGAGGGCTGGAGAGATGGCTCAGAGGTTACAAGTACTGTCTGCTCTACAGAGGACTTGGATTCTATTCCCAGCACCCACATGTGGCTAACAACCATCTGTAACTACAGATCCAGGGAATCTGATGCCCTCTTCTGGCCTCCAAGGGCACTTCACAACATGGGTGAACTTACATACATTCAAGCAAAACATTCATACACATAAAATAAAAATAAATAAAAATTAAACAACAACTTGGAGAGGAAAGGGTTTATTTCATCCCAGGTTGTAATCCATCACTGAGGGAAGTTGGGGCAGGAACTCAGGGCAGGAACTTGGAGGCAAGACCTGAAGCACAGACCATGGAGAAACACTTCTTTGTTCCCTGGCCTGCGTTCAGCCTTTCTTACACACTCCAGGACCACCTGCCCAGGGATGGCATCACCCACAGCGGGCTGGGTCCTCCAGCACTGGTCCTCCAGCATCATTCAACAATCAAGAAAATGCCTCCTAGACAAGCCCACAGGCCAATCCAATGGAGGAACTCATCTAATTAAGGTTCCCTCTTTCGATGTGTATCAAGTTGACATCTAACACTATCCAGCACACATAGCATCCTGTGCACATTCTAATTTTCATAAATAATATGACTGTTTAACCCTGAAATGGTCCTGCTGTCTTTTCGTAGACTGTGAGCTCCAAGACTGTTTACTTTCTATCTCAATCAAAGCAGTTGTTGCTAAACAAGTATCTCAGCAAAGTATGGTACTAACAATTCTGAAAAACTAACTCAGCTAAACACCTTATGAAACTAGCAAAGTATCAGAAGGCACTGGAGAGTAATTAGAGTCAACTACATGGTCAAAAAGCCTCTTTGGAGATGACCATAGGCTGAGAAATAGTCTTGTCTTGGGAAGAACCAGGGAAAGAGCATTTGAGGCACAGGGAACAACAAGCCCATGATGAGAAGAAACACATAGCACATACTAAGTTCAGGAAGAAGAGTAGGATGCAGAAGCAGAGCGAGTGAGCTCAGCAGTCAGAACAGGAGCTGAAGCTACAGAGGTAGGGAACAGGACTGGAGAGATGGCTCAGTGGTTAAGAACACTGGTTGTTCTTGCAGAAAACCCTGGTTCGAATCCCAACACCCACATGGCAGCTAACAACTGTCCATAACTCCAGTTCCAAGGGATCCTACAGCCCTCTTCTGTCCTCCGCAGGCACTGCATGGCACAGGTGCCTTTAACTACATGCAGGCAATACATGCATACACATAAAATAAAAATAATAAATTAAATATTTTAAAAAAAGAAGTAGGAAACAAATGGCACAAGAAAGGGTGTGGATTCCGCCTGTGCCATCCCATACCACTGGTGGCTTTTACAGGAAGAGCAATCTAACCAGGGTATACAGAACTGAATACAGCAGGGGGAGAGCGGACAAAGGGAAGAGCAGGCAAGGGTTAATGCGGCTCCTGTTACAGAGGTAGCGGGAGGGGTGGGTATAAACAAGGATGGGGTGGGTATAAACAAGGATCTGGAATACTTTAAAGGGAGAAGCAGCCACAGGCACTGCCAAGCTCCTTTTACAGAAGAGGAGCTGGGATTTCAAGTCCTGTCTGTCAGAATCCAGAGCCTTCGCTTTTGGCCTTTAGACTATCATAAATATCTACTTAATGAAAATAATAGCAAAGCTTAGGAACCTGAGGCAACTGTTCTTCCCAAGGCACTGCATTGTTTTTCAGTCATCAATTTTCTGCTTCACTGATCTTTTATTACTCCTTTATAGGTGTAGGCAGAACCACAAGGAACACACACAAAAGTTACAAGTAAATCCTGTGTGTTAAAATAACTAAAATGGGATGGAAAGAGGCTTTAGCAGTTAATATTGCATGCCATTCTTCCAAAGGACCCAAGTTTAGTTCTCAGCACCCATATCAGGCAGCTCATAACTACCTAGATCTCCAGCTCCAAGAACCCAACATCCTCTTCTGGCCTCTACAAGTACATATACACACAATAATGCACATGTACACACACACACACACACACACACACACACACACACAAAATAAATAAAAATCTTTTTTAAAAAACTACAAAATCGCCAGGCATGGTGGTGTTTGCCTTTAGTCCCAGCACTCGGGAGCAGAGGCAGGTGGATCTCTGTGAGTTCAAGGCCAGCCTGGTCTCCACAGTGAGTTCCAGACCAGCTGGTGCTACAGGGAGACTTTGTCTCAAAAAGACAAATAATAATAATAATAATAAATAAATAAAAATGAGCCCAACATGCCAGGTATGATGACACCTGAAGTATTAACACATGGGAGGTGGAGCACTAGTAGCTCATGGCCAGCCTGGGTTACATAAGAATGTGTCACAAAAGAGAGAGCAGACAGAGTCCAAAAACAGTCTCATAAAGGTTTGTTGACCATAGACAGATATGTGTATTTGAAGGCAAAGGTGAAAGAGCCCACATAACGGGTGAAAGGTCAAATTCTACTCCATACAACAGCACAGAAAATTAGAAAATCCTGTTAAAAAAATGAAAATATTTCATGGCTAAGTAAATGAATGTTCAATTTAATCCCAAGGGAGAGAATTACAGTGGCCGTGGGCTAGTGACACAGCTCAGTGCTGTCTCCCTGGATTCAACCCCCACACGAGGTGGCACCTGACTGCAATCCCAGCACAAAGGGGAGGAGGGCACATGCCATAGCTACGTGACCTATAGGCGATTAAAAAGCACTTAGAGGGGCTAGAGAGATGACTCAATGGTTAAGAACACTGGCTGTTCTTGCAAAAGACCTGGGCTCGAATCCCAACACCCACATGGCAGCTAACAACTGTCTGTAACTCCAGTTCCAGGGGATCCCACACGTTCTTCTGTCCTCTATGGGCTTTGCACAACATGGGTGCACTTACCTACATGCAAGCTATGCATACATACACATGAAATAAAAACAATAAATAAAATATTTTTTTAAAAAAAAAGAACTTAGAACAGGGGGCAGTTAGACAGTACAGAAATCAGCACCAGGAAGGCATGAACACACTTGGATTGTTAGGGATCCAGAGAAGAACAGTACAGAGAAGATGCCAAGGCCAGGAGTCAGAGGACCTCTAAACTGCATTTGACACTATGGAGATTTCACTACTTGAAAATCCTCTTTTGTACTTTAATCCAATTTTATTCTGGTTGCTTTGTTTTGAGACTTGGTCTCAGTCTGCAACAAAGACTGGCTTCAAATTTGCAATCCTCCTGCCTCAGCCTCTCCAGTGTTGGGATTATCGATGTACCCCACCCCACCAACTCAGGTTCATCTTTCTCATACAGAACATTTGTGCTTGGTTTTAAAATCTTCACATATGGGGCTGGAGAGATGGCTCAGTGGTTAAGAACATTGACTGTTCTTGCAGAAGACCCGGGTTCGAATGCCAGCAGCCACGTGGTGGCTAACAACTGTCCGTAACTCCAGTTCTTAGGTGGTCTGACATGCCTCTTCTGTCCTCTGAGGGCACTGTATGACACACATGCAGGCAATAGCACTCATATACATAACATAAAAATAAGTAAATAAATAAAAAACTTTTAAATTCTTTTTGTGGGTCAGTGAGATAAGGGGCCCAGTAGGTAAAGGCACCTGCTGCCAAGCCTGAGGACCAGAATTCGATCCCCAGGATCCTCATGGTGGAAGGAGAGAACTGACTTTCACGTTTGTCATGCAGATCTCTGTGAGTTCAAGGCCAGCCTGGTCTACATAGTGAGTTCCAGGACAGCTGGGGCTATAGGGAGACCCTGCTTCAAACAAAAAAAAAAAAAAAATCTTCACATAACAATTAAGAAGGTTCTGCACTTTTTAGGCACACCTTGAGTATCCACACGGCTTGCCTCTCAGCTAGTCAGCATTATTTGATGTCTAAATTAACCCAATTTCATTTTTCTGATTTCTCCAGTCATCCCATGAAACCGACAAACAGATTAAGAACACTCTGAGTGTGATGGTTTACTCTTGTAATTCTGGCTACTTCAGGGACAGGATTTTTCCACATAGAAGGAAAATAGGAAGGAAAGGGGAGGTATAGGAAAGGGAAAGAGGAGGGGAGAGAGGAGGAACTAATGGAAGGAAAAACACAAAAGCTAGTCTTTCTTGAAAACAATTACTCTCTAGTTTAGGGAATAAAGTATTGCCCAAGTCTAGAATATTAAATAAAACCAACTGAGATCTAAAACAACAAAAAGAACTCATCTTTCCTGGAAACTTACTCCTCTGGCACTTTTGTTATCGCAATCGCCCAAACTGCCCACGTGGGCCTGGAACCCCTGAGCTCAAAAGCCTGAGGCTACCCACTGGCCACTCTGGCAAGGTTAATGCGAGGCTGCCCCCTTTTCCTGGGCTTCCATCCTCACTCCACAACCCTCCTATCCTACACTATTCTTTCACAAGCACTTGCATAACGCCGCTCTTTCCTCTCCATTTGTCAGCACCTGGGCTGAGGTATGTTCCTCTCTCTCCACCCAGCGTTCTCCTACCCGCTGATCCCCATGACCTCTGATTATTATAGAAACAAAAACATCAACCGTCCCAACATAAGTCAGATCCAGACTCTTAAAACGTAGGTACACTCCAAAGCTTACTATGGCAACCAAACTGAAAATCCAAAGCGCCAAAAACCTCGTCCTGAAGCTTCTTACCCATTCCTAAAACGTTGCTAGTCAGACATCTAGGGCTCCCTAGCTTGGACATACGGAAAATAAATTCAAAGGGCTCTCGCTACAGTGCTCCCTAAACACTCCAGACTGAAGGGAGATACCCACCCCAAGGTAGAACTGATGTCTCGTCTGAGAAGCCATCTTGTCCTCTGGTGGGTGTGAAGGTGCCATTACCACACGGAGCCCCCAGCCCTCCTAAGATCAATGAGGCGCGGTGGGGTGGGGGGCTCTAAACAACATTGACAAACATGCCGGAAGAGTCTCTTGGAAACCTGGGCCTGCAGGGGCTCAGCTTCTGCAGCCGATGGGGCAGCGCCAGCCCAGGCCTCGCTGGCCCAGCCCACGCCGGTGCACTGGGGCGGCGGCCGAAAACCACGCCGGCACCGCGGATACCCGCGGCCTGCCGCCAGGACCCTCCGGAGTCCAGGGCCTCGGCGGGCGGAACCCTAGCCGACTGGAACCTTCGGACGAGGGGAGCCGGCTCCCCGGGCCTGCGCCCTCCCGCGCTCACCTGCAGCAGCCCGCGAAGCAGAGGGCCGCGGACGCCGCAGCGCAGAGCCGCCAGCACAGCCATGGTCACCGGCAGGAAATTTCTCAAGGGCAAAGACAACCTCAGGCAGCCGGACCCACGGACCTGGCAGCCCAGGCAGGCTCCGCCCCCGAAGCCTCCGCCAATGGTAGCCCCGGATCGCTGCGCTTGGCGACGATTGGCCGGCAGCCAGGAGGGGGCGGGGCGAGGAGCCCGGCAGTGGTCTCGAGCTGGTGACTGCAGCTCCAGGCTAAAGTCCACTTAGAGACTGCAAAGCGCTTTAGCCTCTGCACGCCTGTGGTTTCTGTGCAACCCGAGCCTTTCCAAAGGAGATTCATCACCTTTCAGTTTGACTTGAGAGAATTTTGTAATTGTTTTTGTGTAGAAGGATACAAGGTAAAATGCATGTTGGTATCCGAACCTCAGTGTACAATAAGGATTATTTATATCAACTTTCAGAAAAATCCGTACTTTAACTGCTATTACTAGGCACCCCCTAACTAAGGAGACGACAGAGATAAAGATAGCTAGGATGTAGCTTGGTTGGTAGAGTGCTTGCCTTGCGGTGCACGAAATTCAGTTCCCCGCACTGCATTAAAAAAAAAAAAAAAAAAACTTGGTATGGCCACCTGAATTTAAAAAAATATTTTATTTATTATTTTTATTTTATGTGTATGAGTGTTATGCCTGCATGTAAGTAAGTGCACCCGTGTCGTGCAATGCCCGGGGAGGACAGAAGAGGCCGTCGGATGCCCTGGGACTGGCGTTACAGACAGTTGTTAGCTGCCATGTGGGTGCTGGTATTCGAACCCAGGTCTTCTGCAAGAACAATTAGTGTTCTTAACCGCTGAGCCATCTCCCCAGCCCCTGGCCACCTGAATTTTGACAAAAATGCCAAAAACATACAGACGGGAAAAAGCCTTTTCAACAAATGGTGCCAGCATACTGTTCATCCATATGTAGAAGAATGAAATTACACCCACATCTTTCACCTTCTGCAAAACTCAATTCAAAATGAATCAAAGACCTTAATAAATGCCAAGCGCGGTGGCACAAGTCTTTAATCCCAGCCCTTGGGGGTCAGAGGCAGGTGGATCTCGGTGAAATCGAGGCCAGCTTGATTCACCATAGTGACTTCCAGGCGGGCTGTGACTGGGGAGACCCTGTCAGGAAGAAGAAAAAAAAAAAGATCTTAAAGTAAAACACGAAACAGTGAAATTATTAAGGGAAAACGCTTCATAATATAGGCGCAGGCAGGGACTTTCTGAAGATTCCAGTAACTCAGGAAATAAAGAATGGATGAATGGGATCTTAGGAAACTGAAAAGCTTTTGTACCGCAAAGGAAATAAAACATAAATTGAAGAGGCAGCCTGAAGGGTGGGAGAAATCTTCGCTAGCTATGCATCTGACAGGATATTAGTGGAAATGATTTTTGAATTTTTCCCCATTTAGTATGATGTTGGCTACAGCTTTGTCAACATATATAATATAATATAATCTTCTTTAAGTCGAGCTTTGTGCCTTCTCCCCCTTCCTTCAGGGCTTTTATCATAAAGGGACGTTGAACTTTGTTTTAAAATATTTTGCATCTGGGGCTGGAGCGATGGCTCAGTGTTTAAAAGTACTGGCTGCTCTTGCAAAGGACCCAGGTTTGATTCCCATCACCCACATGGCAGCTCTGTAACTCCAGATCCAGGGTATCTGACACCCTCTTTTGACCTTCTCAGGTGTTGCACGACACAGGAACACTTACATACATTCAGACAATACACTTATAAGCATAAAATAAAAGTAATACCTACATTTGTCTTTTGTTTTTGTTTTTTTACTTTTTGAGACAGGGTCTCCCTGTAGCCCCAGCTGGCCTGGAACGCACTATGTAGACCAGGCTGGCCTTGAACTCACAGAGATCCACCTTCCTCTGCTTCCCAAGTGCTGGGATTAAAGTTGTGCGCCACCATGCCTGGCTAAAATATGTTTTAAGGGGCTGGGGAGATGGTTCAGCAGTTAAGAGCACTGGCTGCTCTTGCAGAAGACCTCGGTTCAAATCCCAGCACACACATGTTGGCTGACAACTATCCAAAACTCCAGCTCCAGGGGCTCTGAAGCACTTTCCTGTCCTCCAAGGGCACTATGCAATACAGGTGCATGCAAGCATAACAACTCATACACATAAAATAAAAATAAATAAATAAATATTTTTTAAATCTTCTGCATCTATCGAGATGGTTATGTAATTTCTTTCCTGGTCTATTTATGTGCTATATTACATTACTAATTTCTGTGTGTTGAGCATCCCTGGAATGAAGCCAACATGGTGATGGTGAATGATATACATATTTTTTTAATTTTTATTTTTTATTTTATGTGTACGTGTGTATTGCCTGCATGTAGGTAAGTGCACCTATGTCGTGCAATGCCTGTGGAGGTCAGAAGAGGCTGCTGGATTCCTTGGGACTGGAGTTACAGACAGTTGTTAGCTGCCATGTGGGCGCTGGGATTCAAACCTGGGTCTTCTGCAAGAACAACCAATGTTCTTAACTGCTATCTCTCCAGCCCAGGTGAATATTTTTAATGTGTTGTTGAAGTCATTTTAGATGGAATTTACTGAGAATTTTTACAACCATGTACATCAGGGAGATTCTTATAATTTTCTTTTATTGTTGAATCCTTATCTGATTTTGGTATCAAGATACTACTGGCTTTATAAAATGAAGTTAGTAGAATTCCTTCCCTTTTTTGTGGAATAGTTTGGGGAGAGTGGTGTTAGTTCTACTTTAAAGATCTGGTAGAATTCAGTAGTGAATTCATCTATATGGAGGCTACCATACGTTTTTTAATTTTTT